ACCACGCCAGCAGAGCTGTCTCTTTGTCCCACCCCCAGGTCCAGCATTAGCCCAGCAGAAAGGATTATTTTCCAGCCTGAAGCCTCAGCTGAGATCTTGAAAAGCTTCTGGTGGTGGTGATCAGGCCACCACTGTGATGGTGCTTCAGCCTGTCGTGAATTTGGGACATTGTCCCCGGCTCTGCAGGTTGGGCTGGGTGGCACTGCTGTCCCTGCCACCCCAGCTCCTTGGGAACACGTCTCTGCCAGCACCTTCAAGCAGGGAAATGTCCCTTGCTGGTTTGTGAGAGGCAGAAGATGCTGCACACAGGATTTTAACTGTTTGTGTTCACTGTATTACAACAAACTCTGAGGGAATAATTACTTCCCTGAGGTAATACAACTGCACTAACAGCATGAGAAATTTGATCTGCCCATGTCCTGGTTTTGGCCACAGCTCATGAAATCACAACTATCAAATGCAGGGCCTGGATAAAAGGGCCATTCTTCTCTACCTACACAGTTATTTTTGGTTCTTCGTGGCTTATAAATAAAATAATTTTTGAGAGTGAAATTGATCAGGAGCTCTTTTCCAACCAACTGGAGAGACAAGAACAGTCAAAATAATTTTTGAATCATATTTCTGGGTTTGAAGTGTTCAAAAATGAAGCCATGTTCCTACAAAAACAGATACACAAATACTCTGAGTTAGATCCTGTCCCTGGAGAAGCATTCATAGCCTCAGTGATTTCCATGGAGTTATGCCAAATTACACAAGCTGGATATTTGCTCTAGGCCATTTTGCTATCACAAACAGCAGCTACATGATAAGGATCACAACACATTTCTGAAAGAAGGGCAAGTGTCACTGATATACTGGTTGCAAAAACATCATTCATTAATAAAAGGTCACAAGTGACCGCAAAGGATACAAATGAAGTATTTCACTTTTTTGGAGCATCATTTTGAAATCCTGTTAATTGTGTCTATCAACCATTTTCCTAACCATTTCCAAGGTCTGCCTTCCTGCAATTTAAGGTCTGTGTTTATGAACCCAGGTTAGAAAGAGCCTCTAAAGAGTCCTTTCAGCCTCTGAGCCTGAGTACACACTAGGAAGGTGAAGACTAAAGTTGCAAGGGTGAGAGGGAGCCTGGGCATTGAAAGGTGCCTCAGACCAAAGACCAGCGTGTGCAAAACACAGGTCTGAGTACAGCAGCAGCATTGGTGCTCTAAAAAGTACATAATTACCTGCTCAGGGAGTTACAGACTACATTTTGAAGCAGCACACACTTAGCAGTGTGAGCCCATAGAGACTAAAAGCTTGAAGGGTTACCCAATCCAGAGCACAGTAGCATCCTTAGAAAAAAGAGCTCCAAAGAAAATTATGTCAAAAGAGATGCAATCTCACAGCATCAAGCATGAAATGAATACTTGACTTCCTCAGTCACTCCTACCTTAGGCAACAAAAGCAAGCTTACACTACAGGCTGAGAAGGAAAATTTATGAGAATTGTGGAAATAAATCACAGTGTTTTACTTGTCCATGGTGTGCAGGTTTTTCTCAGAATCCAGAAATTATTTTTTTTTTTTTGTTCTTGTTCTAAGCACTAACAAGAAAAGTGTCCTGAATGAGTGCAAACTTTTAAGTTTGTTTTTCCAAGATAAAGAGCTGTAACATAATTAAGAACACTCTAAAGTCCTGCTTTAGGTGTCACAAAAACTGTCTTAACTCCTTGATTTGGACAGCAACAGAGGTGAAGGTCTCCAATTCTCACACAGTACATAATCCTAAATGAAATTAAACTGTAAATCAATTGCAAAACACTGAGGATTTTATGCCGTGTAACTTTGCCCCCTCTTCCACCCAACTGATGTTAATGAGCAAGTATGAGCGGGGAGTACTAGAATCCACTCATGGTAGGGATAACCCCAAAGTATTTGTACAGTTTTTCCTGTTCCCTGCCTGACCTGCTCTGCTTTATGTCAGTGTCTACGTGAAGGGGGAGGATTTGTCTTTCTGTGCCGTGGTTTATGTAGTGTCACAAATGCTGATATTGATCTCTTGCAGCCAAGGTTTCTGTTTGATGTCGCCAGTGTAAGAGCATGTGTGTTATTTTCATCAGGGCCTTTCCAGTCACTTGATTCATTTGATTTGCACAAAGTAGGATTGTAACTGGGCAGTGAGAAGGGGGAAGTTGTATGTGCAGAGTAAGATTTAGAAATTCCTATATTTCCTGTAAGACAGAGGCTATTTGGAGTTTGGGGGGAAAAAAAGGTATCTTGCCAAAGCACAGGGCAATGGTATCTAATTTTCCCAGCCACTGCTTGTAAAATATTTATTAAATAAACTTTTACCTTCTCCCCTCTTAATTCTCAGATAATTCTAGGACAGAGTAATCTTGTTCTGAGTGTAAATGTCACTTCTCTCCCAGTCAGAGAAAACCACTGCCTTTGACAAAACAGCACATCTCCATTTTTCACAGCAGCATTGCTTTCCCACTGGTTGTTTAAAAGGCAAAACAAATGTTTTGCCTGTGGGAGCAATTTAGGGTGAGATACACTGTGGGTATTGGCCTCCTAAAGGTCATCCCAAGCTGATGTTATAACCTTGTTCTGGTGGTTTGTGAAGTCTCCTGTAGCAATATCCATAGAAATGGTTTAGCTATGGATCATCCAGCAGGATTATGAATCTGTACCACTGCCACTGCCACAGGTGGGTATTCTCCTAAGTGGGTTCTGACTCACTTGCCATTTGCATTCTTGGAGGGAGGAAAATCCTTAGAGTTGCAAATCAAAGGTATTAGTAGGAAACAACTCATACACATCTGCAAGAAGCAGGAAAAAAGTAGAAATCCTAAAGTTTTGAGATTACATCATCATCCTCATAGGACCAGCTGAGCATTATTACAGGGCCATAGTTACTCCAAGGCTGTGGGATGTTAATTTAGGTGCCAAGTGCCATAAAAAGTCTCTTGTGGAGGAGATGTTGAGGGACACTAAGACTAGGGCTCTGTTTCAAAACCAGAGTCCAACGTGCCTGCACGATCACATTTACATGGGAGTGAGGGGTGCACATTTCTCCGTGTCCAGCCAGGGCTCTGTGAAGTTGCTTAGAGTCACTGGTGCCACATGGGACAGCTGCAGGAAGCTGCCTGGTGAGGGACAGGACCTGTCAGGACCTGTCAGTGCTTTTCTAAGTGGCTGCTGGAGCCATGTCAGGCATTACAGGGAATTTCTAGCACCACTTCATGCCTGAACCAAACCTCCCTGCTGCTCCTTGTGCAGTTGAAACAAGTAGCAGGCACAGTGCAGGAGGCAAATGGCTCTGGCTACCAAAGAGCTGAGCCAACAGCACAGGTTCTCTTAACTAAAATGTTTTCCAAGGCAGAAATTAGTCTGTCAGAAAATAATTTCCTCCTGCAATTGACCTAAAGTAGAGTGGTAACAGGGCATCTCTGTGCCCTTCTCTTTTCCTGTCTTTTAAAACTTTTAGACCTTCTCTAACACCAGGAAACCAGGAAAATTTTGAAGTTCTCTATGGGGAGAGTGAGTCCACGTCAAGGTCTAGAAAACAACTTGATATCCTGAAATATTGAGCTGTGACAACCAGCCAGCCTACTTGCCTGTCAATTCCTGCCCTTGGTTCCCTTTATCTTCCTCAGATATTCTCCTAGATATCATTGGAGGCCGCATTTGAATAGCAATGACATTTTTGACATTACTCAGGAAGAACAGCATCATTATTTTAGCGCTTTACAGCCCCCAAAGGCTTCAGAATCTACAGGCGTGGTGGTTTGCAGTGCAGCAGGTCCCTGGTGTCTAATCCTGCAAGTAAATATGTGACTCATTCATCCTACAGCAGTGTGGGACCATAAATATCAGGCATTTCTTCGCTCAGCAGAAGGCCACGTTCATGTGTAGCTGACAAACACAAGTCTCTGGGCAGTAAACACTCAAACCTGAAACAGCCCCAGCCTGAAACCAGGAATTAAGAGCTTTGCTGTTCTGTACAATTTCGTGTTCCAAGGTGGACTGTGTAGTCAGTACATCAAGAGTGATCCCTGATGAGAATTATGCTGTCTGACTTTCATAACAAAAGTATATAATGAGTATTAAATAAGCTTTGGTGTTGTTCATGTCTCTGTATCCTTTTAAGGCAAAAAATTATGATCATTGTGTCGTGTTTTCAGTCAAAATAGGCTTGATAGATTCTAATTAGTGCATTCAAAGGGGCAGTTTTAGCACAGTTTTCCACATACACTTCTACAGCAATTGCGTTCCAAGGGGGCCTAAAACTAAAGGGAGATTTTGCACTGTAAGAATATTTGGCTTTTTATCTATGCTCAAGGTTGCCTGGGTGTTACATGCTCTTTCCTGACAGAGAAGAATGAATTTAAATGGGAAAAATAAAAATCATCTTTCAGGTAAAGGGCTGCATCATCCTGGAATTTTTTTTCTTAGCAAATTAAATTGAGTGATCTTAGCCCTAGCAGAGCTAGAAAGAGCTCAAGAACACATAAATGCTTCTTTGCACTCATTTAATTTCTACCTAAACTATTCACTGATGTGATGAAAGTCAAATACAGTCTAGAGATCCCCCTACAGAAGTACCACTAGAGACTCGAGCGTTACAGGTACGTTGACAACTGCAGCATAAAAATCCTGCTAGTTCACAAATTAATGGTAGCTTTGGAAACCAAATTCTAACACAATAGCTCTTCAGGGGACAGTCTGGAGGAGGAAAAGCATTTTAATTTGGTTTTGACAAGCTCATTTGTTTCCTAAGCCCCCTTCTTGCTAGCATCCACTTCAAACCTTGCACTTGGAGAGTGCTCGCACTCTATAGGGATCTGAGGATACATGGCACATTTCAAACCTTTAATCACAGCCACTGAACAGGGTTCTTCATTACCAAATTTAGTTTTGCAAACAAGACAATTAAAATGTCAAGCTTCAGGGGTTGCACTGATTTTCTAGAACAGCCTCATGCTCAGCTACAGCTTTGACAGGGATGTCTCCTTACCGTGTTTGCTCTTGCCTTGCCCTGTTCAGATCCTGGGATCGATAATCAATATTCAGAAGCAAAAGCTCTCAGCCTGAAAGACTTTATCAGTTGTGTGCCAGCCCTGGTGACATCCAGAGGGTGCAATAGGTGTAACTTTCCAGCAAACCTCCAAACTCTGCTGCTCAAGAAAACACAGTTCTCTATTATAGGAACTGCCAGTCTTCCACTCCCCCGAGTCAGCAGCACATCAGCTTCTCCCTGTGATGAATTTCCTGCAGTGCAGCAACTCTTCAAGCTTCAGTTTCTAACTAGAGTATAAAATGTAATGAGAGCTGAAGCCCAAAGCAGGAGAAGCCACATCAAACAAGATGGGCAAAGAGTTCATCCTCCTCAAACCTTCCAATACTGGAAGAGAAATACGCACTTATGCCACAGGATTTTGGTTCCAGGGTAAATGTTGTCCAATGGGTACATTAGACAGGTTTAGGGTCTAACATAAAAACTACTATAATAAAATTGTACTGCACAGTAATTCACTCTCATTATAATTCCTACTGAACTCAGAATTGACATTTAAAAAAATCAGAGTGGGGCACTACAGTAAATTAGAGTTTACACCAGACTGTAGAGTGCAGGATAGATATTCATTATGAATGGAAAATAAGAGAACATGTAATTGCGAAGGGAAAGGTGAAATCTAGTAACTTCTTCATGTTTCTCTAAAGTTAGTCTGAGAACCTCACTCTCTGAAAAGATTAGTAGTTAGTAGTATGTAGCTCATGCCACTCAGGGTTCACTGACCATTTTCCCCTCTGCTCAGAGCCAGTGAGATCTTGACTTGCTCTTCCCAGGCTTTCAAAACCCGTGCATGAAGCAGCCAGAGTTGTCACTCCCTCCTTGTAACCTCTTTGTAGACAACTGGAGAGCAGAGAAAGGCACCCAGAGTGCTCTCGAGTTCTGTCACTGCTCTTCTGGGACTCGTCACTGAGAGCAATCCCATTAAATATGGATTGTCTCTGGCATCTGAGAGCAGTGTCCTTTGCAACTCATAGCTTAAAGAGCCAGGAGTCAGTCTGGGACTTGGTGACCATTGAATTGTAGATGGTCCCTTTTTCTGTGTTACCCATGTGCACAGATATGAGCCATGCACCTGAATCCAATTTTGCTAAATACATATATATATATATATATATATATATATATATATATAGCAAATCATATATCAGAAATACACAAGTCGATGTTATGGTGAGGTACAAGTATAGAAAAAGATTCTTGCACCATCTAGACACATCACTGCAGGCACACTATTATGAGCCTACTATTTTTACCCCACCTGCCTTCTGAGTTTTTGGCATTCCCTCGCTGTCATGCACCTTGCACTGCTTGTTGCTTTAAGTGAATGTTATTGCTGAAAGAGAGTGATCTGATGGCAAATTGAAAGAACATTTAATCTAATAAATTCTTGCTTTGAAGCCCTGCTTGTCAGATTAGAGTGCTTACACAGTGCAGCTGCTCCTCCTGAGCCTGCACGTTGTTCTTCACTCGGGGCTGGGGCTGCCTCTGCAGGAACATCTGGGGGCTTTCTGCAGCTCATCTCTGCTTGCACAATCCTAAGAGAACCTGCTGTCAGGAAAGTTCAGGATTTTTCTCCTGATCTCACTCATAGAAGCATGTGAAAGAATTAAGGAAAAAGTAAGGGAATGGAACTTTCCAACTTGAAAAGGAGTGCTGAGCAATTTCAGCTCGCAGAGAGGCTTCAAGTAACAGAAACAAATAGATTAGTTTGAATGAAACCAGAATGGCATTCAAAGTAACTCTGAATGCTCTTTTTCTATAATGAGTGAATGCAATATCCTTCATATTTTATGAAAAAAAATGCAGGCAATAAATCTTAACTTTACAAAAAAATTTAGCCTACGCAGTAAAATGTCACAAAGTAGCATTACCTGATGGAGTCCAGAACTGGGGATTTCTTTTTATGTCACCTCTGCAGGGTGGCTTTCAGCAAATCATGTCACGTCCATATAACCCATGTTGATGATAAAATGGTAGAATATAGTCTTCTAGTTAATGAATCATCTTGCAGAACTGTGGGTGCAAACAAAATTATCTAGTAGGTCATACCAAATACTTATATCAGCTTGCTTGTATAGCTGAAAACATAAAATGGATAAAAGCTACATGCAATTAACTGGAAAGCAGGAAAGATCAATGGCTTATCAGCAATAAACTGGCAAAATATTTTGGGAGGTCTTGCAGGGTTTAGGAACCCAAAATTTAACTTCTATGAAACCAAGGTCATAGCATACAGACCCTAGGTAAAAAACCTCAAAAAAATCAAATCAAAAAGCTGCAACATTATATGATTGTAAAACACAGCAGCCTGCACTTGGGTTTTTGTGAATGGAAGTTTACATTGATATAGAAATAATGTAACAAAAATATGAACTATAAATGATGTTTCAGTACTTAAAATAAGTGCATTTATGCAGGGCTTTATTTTATTAATCTCATGGCTTGCTGTAGGAAAAATGGGTATAGTGGAAGAAAGAGGTCAATAAACAAGGAAAAAAAAAGATGGGTTCAGTGAGTGAATATGTAACAGAAAAAAATGAAGGCTATGAATAAACAGAAAAACAGTAATAGTAAAAAAACCTAAAGCTACTCCCTAAGCCTTACTCTTACAAAACCCTCTTTTTATAAAGGGAACATACCAAGAATTTTATTTATTTATTTACTTACTTTAGACTATTCTAAATGCTATTAACTATAGAACAAACATCCCTGTGTTGTTTGTGGAAACCAAGTGAAAGAATGCAAAGCAAATATGCAAGTAAACTAATAACCCGTGTTTATTCAATTACTGTTTTGTGCAAACAAGCAGAGTGATTTAATATCAGTTTGTAAACATCTTACCCAAACTGCATTTCCAGTTGATCATCTGCATGCAAATCAGTTTAAATCAAGCACATGCAAAACCGGGCTAAAATTCAAAGGAAAAAGCCCTCAAAAATTCAATAAGAAGGGATGGAAAAGGATGAAGAAAATCAAGGAAAAGATAAAAGCAATTGTTCAAACGTTTCCTTGCTAAACAATGTTAGAAAACTGTCAACCAGACAAAGACACACACAAAAAAAAAAACCAACAACCTACTCATCTTGTATAAACTCACTTGTGAATTGATAATGAAAGATTTTAAACAAGACTGTCTGCCAAGAAGAGACGTGGAAGTCCCAGCTGCAGTTAAATATATTGACTACTCCTCCTCTGGAAGCAGCAGAGCCAAAGCTCCTCTTTCATGTCTCCCAAAGCCTTTGCTGTGGCTCTTCCAGTGGAGAGCACCTGGCTCCAGGCAGGCTGAATTTGGAACTGTGAGGAGGGGGGGTGGAGGTTTTTAGGGCTCGCAGCTGTTTCATTCAGGTGCTTGCATGAAAAGGATCTGTCTGAGGAAAGGAGGAGTGCCCCAAGTGAGGATTTCCTTTCCTGATGCCAGGGAAAACTCAGGGAGGGAAAAAGGGCAACAATTGCTCTCAGTTTATTATTATTATTAGCAATTATCAAGAGAGAGGGTCTTACAATGCCCATTGCTGGCCTCACTCCTGTGAAGGAGGGTAAAACAGAGGAGAATCTGCTTTTCAGCTATCAAGGTTTTTATCTTTGATGAACAAACCATGCAAACTGTAGATTGTAGCCAGGTATCCCCAGCAGCAGACCTGCTTTCCTGGGACAGTTACAGCATGCATGAGACTGAGCACATCCATCCTTTACTGAAATATTTGTATTGCTCCCTAGCCAGTTTTCAGGTTTCTGAGATTTCTACCCAACAGATATTGCTCGAGCAACCATTCAGCTTTCCTATTAGGATACACCAAGGATGGAGAATTTCTAGGGCATGATGAGGTACCTTATAAAAGGACAAAGCAGCTGAGTAATATGTTTTTAACACTTCCTCTACTTTTACCACATCTCCCTTATTCTGTCCTCTCTCCTGGGGTGCACAGCCCCAGAAGCTGAAGCTCTGCACCCGAGGGGAAGCTGCTGCCCCTGGAGATGCCCTTCAGCATGTGGCATGTGGCTGGCCAGCTGCTCCCCTGCAGGGTGCTTGCTGTGTCCCACAGCTCATGGGAGGAATCCAGGCTCTTCTTTGCAATCTACCTCCTGCTGGAAACCTCCCGAGGGTTATTAGATTCTGTAAGAGCTGACCTTTAAAAGTCTGCAGTGCAATTAAGCAATCTGGGCAGCTCTGGGCCAGCAGCTCAGCTGGTCCAGGAGAGGCAGGAAGCAGACAGTTCACTCCTGACTAATGTCATTACAGGAGGACAGGAGGGGCACCCAGACACTCTAATTAAACGGCAGCAGATCTGCTCAGCAGGCTGCTATGATTGAGTGCAAAGCAGAGAGACAGTGCAAAACATGACAGAATCCCTGGGCTTTGTCCAGTTATGTGTCACAGCCCTTCCTGGGGGTTTGATGGCAGCGCTTTCTCATACAGCTGGCACAAGGAAGGGAAGGTGTCCAAACAAATGGGCATCCATCCCTGCCAATGCTCTGGTCTGAAGGCCTCTGTCCTAACTGACCTTATCAAAATTAATGCATTAAAGCACTTGCAGAATGGAAGAAAAGGCAGTGTGGTGAGGGGATTGCCTTCTTTAGCTGTGTGAGCCTCCCTGCTCTGATTTCAGAAATTTCTGCATGTCAGAAACAGCCCTGCACGCCATGGAGCCCCTGAAGATGAGAGGAGTCAGTGGCTCAAGTCTGACACTGCTTCTTTCCCATAGCTCAGGAGCCTCTGGTCAGAGTTAAATGGTGGCTTCTTTCTCTCCCTGTCCTATCTACTTCAGATATGGAATCAAACAGCAAAATAGGAACCCTGCGAAAAAGTGAACCTTGCAATTCTGTTGGAGTGTTTGCTTTTTCTGATCAGATGGCTGGAGTTGTGGACTGGCTGCTTTGTCCATGTCAGTGTTTGCTGTCCTTTCCACTGGGCTTCTACTGACATTTCTTGCTTCTTTCTCTCTCTCCTGCTCACAGCAAATTGCCTCTGGTTCCATGCAGGCCTTTCTGTTATCAAACGAAAAAGCTCAGACTTAAAATTAACTACTTTTTACTTGTGAAATTAACTACTTTTTACTTGTGTCAAATAGGACAGGCCTAAATTTGGCTTTTATTTAGGCTGGTAAACTATTCA